CTAGTGCTCTACCACTTTGAGATATAGTGCCTTCTTCCAGTTTTCTGGGGGCTAATTGGAGCTGAGTCTCACAGGGAGTTTTCTGCCTGGGTGGGCTTCGAGCCCCGATCCTCAGATATCAGACTTCTAAGTAGCTAGGATTACAGGTGTAAGTTATTAGCGTCTGGCTTTTAAAAAACATTTTATTGTAAAGGTGATATACAGAGGGGTTGCAGTCACATAAGTCAGGTAATAAGTATATTTCTTTTTGAGTACCTCTTCCCTCCTTTTCTCCCAGTTTTTTTCCCCTCCTACCTCCCCACATCCACAAGTTATACAGATAATTTTCAACATATCATCTAGTAAGGTATTACTGCTGAATTCACTCACCCTTTGTCTCACCACTTCCATGCTTCCCCTTCCCCTCCCCAAATCAGATAAACTTACATATAATACAAAAGGTACAGAAATCAAAGACAGCACAAAATGGGGGAAAACAGAGAAACAAAACACAAACACAAAAATTTAAAATATCTCATTTCCATGTCTTGGAGTTCATTTCGATAAGCATCATATTACATGATCATATGCACAAGCTATTGGGCCTTTGTGATCCTATTCTAAGACTATCTTCCTTTGGTCTCACTGTGTGAATGTTTAGAGTCCTGTTTACTTTATCATGTCCAAGTGCAATTTGACTTTTACTACCCATTTTGTTTACTTGTAGATTTATAGGCACATTCTAATTACTACAAATGAGGGAAACCACGCAACCTATGTTCCTTTGGGTCTGGCTTATTTCGCTTAAGATCATTTTTTCTAAGTCTTTCCGTTTCCTTTACAAATGGGACGATACCATTCTTTCTGATGGAAGCATAGAATTCCATTGCGTATATATACCACATTTTCTCGATTCATTCGTCCACTAAAGAGCACCTGGACTGATTCCTTCTAGGAGCTTTTTACTCAAGCTTTCTATTGAATTGAAACCCACTAAGCTGGCCACTCACCTTAGTTTAGGAAGAAGTCTTGGAGCTGACAAGAGGATTTAAATTCGCCAGGTCAAAGAAAGCCAGCAGAGATTTCAAAGCAGTAGTTACTACAGAGACTCACCATCTAGACTGTAGGCAATCATGCCATCTTACCTACAGCTTGCAGCACTTTGCTGTGTGGCTTTGGGCAAGACAGCCCATCTTTTCCTCTCTCAGAGACTAGGCAGTTGGACTGTTGAGAGCTGCTGCTCTTAGCTACTCATCCCTCTTGGAATTCTTACCCAAATCCATCATTCAAGGGAATAGGGGGAATTTGCAATGTTTTTGAAAGGCTTGTGTCATGACTTCGTCATGGTGAGACTCTCCTTAGACTGTTATCTACAGGCGACTTCTAGCTACGGTTTCATTACTTGCTCCAAACAATACACACAATCTAAATATCTGTTGGTGTCCCTCAATCCTCACACATCACCTGCAGCATTTCGGTAATGCGGAACATATATAATGTATCAGGAAAGTCTAGAGGAATCTCTGAGCACTAATGGGAACTACTGCTCTGTTGAAAGACAACTAGAATTTATTTACTACTGATGGAGTTAGCTTGGACTCAATTTTTGGCCATTAGGAACGAAGCTACTGTGACCATCTATTAGGATAAAGCACACACCATTTTGCTATCCCTTTTTTGTGTGAATTACCTAGTGTCCTTTTATTTTGCTTATTTGCTTTTTGTTTGACTTTTAGGAATTTTTGTTACTGATGGATATTAGTCTTTGGTTCTATAAATGTGATGTAACTATCATTTTCTAGACAGTGACTTGTCTTTACACTCTTGAATGGATTTGTGATACTTTTAGCAAACTATGACTTAAGAAAGAAACTATGACTTAATTTGATAATGTGTCAACAAAAAACACAGCTGTTAATATGCTTAGGATGAAACTAATTGCTTTTCTTGATATATATATATATGTATCATATATCACATTGCATATATATTGGCTTTCATATATATATAGGCTTTCATTTATATATAGAATATATATATATATGGAATATTTATATATGGAAACCAATGCCTCTGCTATTATTAGTCAACATTCTGTAGGAGATTCTTGCCAGAGTAAGAATCTCCAAACATCAATCTATTCATGTGTGAAACAGGGGCAATAATATTAGATGCAAAGTGAAAGTGGGAAGTTCTCTGTCATTGAATTTATACAGCCATTTAGTCTTACTCTTCATGTACCCTATCAGTTGTGTGACTGAATCATATGTTTTAACCAAGGGAATATGTTCAAATTGATGACATGCTGGTTTAAAACTGAGTCCTGAAGAAGCCTCATGTATTTCTGCCATAACTTTAGGAAAATGCTGTTGGGTACCCATGCATCTCTGGTAAAGAGACACGTGGAGCAGATTTGACCTCAGTGTAACCTGCAAGCAAGCTGAGCCAGTCCTATAGAAGCACAGCCAACTCATGGACCTAAGAGCATGCAAAAGAAATGCTTGTTCCTAGAAGTCTCTGAGGTTTAGGAGCTAGTATGTTATACCATATTGTTGTAATCTGAATTAGCTGACAAATATATTTGGCATATAATTAGTACTTAATAGTAACTGTTTAACTTTAGCCTGTTCCCTCATCTGAAAGTTGGAAATAATGCTACAATATAGAGCTATTTAGGAGTAAGAGAACTAATATACATGTAGAGAATTATATTTCTGAAGGCATATTCCAAAGAACATTGATACAGAAAAAGGTAATGGCATTGTCTGCTAAAATCCAAAATCCACAATGGTCAATTACAGTTGGGAAATGCTGTAGGCAAATGGAAGAGGATCTTTTGGCAGACTTTCATGGAGACTTAACAATGAGCATGTTGAAACATATAGAGGGGGCGTAATACAAGTGCTGGTGGCTCACACCTGTGATCCTGGCTATTCAGGAGGCTGAGATTGGAGATTCGAGTTTCAAAGCCAACCCAGGCACAAAAGTCCGAGATTCTATCTCCAATAAAATGCTGGAGGAGGCATGTCTCAAATGGTAAAGCATTAGCCATGAAAGACCAAGAAGGCTGAGCTCACTGAGCAAGAAAGCAGGTAAGATGATGAGTTCAAGCCCTGGTGCACACACACACACACACACACACACACACACACACACACACACACACACACACACACACACACACACACACACGTACAGAATAATTTGGTCAAGACTATTCCATGGAGCCTATCTGAGGAAATGCCAGTGTAACCTACTTAGTAAGATGTTTATCAAGAAACTTTATTAACTTGGATTCTCTATTTTATAAAAATGGTTTTCAATATGTTTTATTATTATTCAGACTTGGGTTTTGCACAATTTTACTCTAACCATATTAAGACAGGTTTTAATAATGCAATACATACACACACACACACACACACACACTAGCTTCTATTTTCTAGCATTTTCTCTAAGTTGTTGGCTTTGATTAAGCGGATCTCCTGAACTTCCATGGGTTGAAATTCGTAATTTGAAAGTAGAACAACAATGGAGTGGGTAACAATGTTCAACGAGAAATGCACCTTACTCATGTAAATATAACCCCTCTGTACAGCGTATTTACAATATAATTAAATTTTAAAAATAGTAATACCAATAAAAAACCACCACATAACATATATATGTCGTTTGCACATTCCTTTCTTCCAATTTTGAGATTTTTCTGGCTTCCAGTGCCATGCTGAATCCAAAATGGCTCAATTGACAACAGTTATCAACTGGCTTTTCTATTATTACATACCCAGAAAACAGAATAGAAAAACCAATAGCTCCTTTGGTGGTCTCAGTGCTAAGCTCTCCTAAAGGCATGCTTCAAATCAGCCCTGCCCACCTGTCTCCCCAGCTTCTCAGTTGGGTTGTCTTTATCATAAGCAAACAGTGTTCAGTCTTCAGGCTCCTGAGGTAGGCTGCAAGGTTCAAATCTCAGGTTGTTTCCCAAACTGGTACTTTTGGTAAAGCCACTGAACCTGAGCCATGCTTTTTCGCTTGTACGATGAACATAAAAGCAACTTCAACATCCACGAACATGAGGTAAGAAATGCAAGTTGAGTATTTAGTTGTTTGGTTTGGGGCCAGTATGGGACTTGAACTCAGGGCCTTATGCTTGCACTCTCCCCTGGCATTCTGCTCAAGGCTGGCAAGCTTGATGCTTTACCACTTGAGTCATGTTTCCCACCTCTGAGCTTTTGGTGGTTAATTTTCTGCCTGGCTTCACACTGTGATCCTCAGCTTTTTTGGGGGGGGGGCGGTCTGGTCGTGGGGCCTGCACTCTGGGCCTGGGCACTGTCCCTCAGCTCTTCAGCTCAAGGCTAGTGCTCTACCACTTGAGCCACAGCGCCACTTCTGGCTTTTTTCTTTTTGCTTATGTGGTGCTGAGGAATCGAACCCAGGGCCTCATGCATGCAAGGCAAGTGCTCTACCACTGAGCCACCGTCCCAGCCCCGATCCTCAGCTTTTAACCTCCCAGTAGCGACAATTATAGGCATGAGCCACCAGTGCCCCACTGTGATTGATTTCTTAAGTCTGTTTTTGACAAACTAAGTCTTCTTCACTGGAATCAAATCCTTTCTTTGGAGACTGTGAACTACATAAATATTAACACAGTAACTGACAGTCAAACAAGGGCCATTAGCTCTGCTAATTGTGCTTTGCCTTTGAGTAATGGCATGATTAAATATGAACAAAGACACTAAAACCTACGTTTATAGAGACAATCTTCACTGCCGACTGCAACAACACAATATGAACTACACAAGACAACCCAAGTGGGCTTCAGAGTTGGGAAAAAGGAGTCTAAGAGAGTTCAAGACCACATTTTGTAGTCTAGACAAGCCCTACCGCCCACCCATTAGCCACATAGTCTCAAATCCCGACTGGGGAATACCTCAGTCTCAGTGAGGAGGGGGCACAAGAGAGAAGAGAGGTCCAGGAGCAGAACAGACAAAAATCCAAATCACAGAAACAAGTGACCAGACTTCCTCTGCACATACTAAGTTGCTTTTATTAATCCAGAACGGCATGCTACAGGTACTGTACAGCATGGACATTTATTCATTACAAAAATGGCTTCCAAACCATTCAAAATGAACTTGGAATAAGAGCATAAAACGGAACAGTAACATCACAACTGTTAGGAAACATTCAAAGTATTCACAAAAAAGAAAAAAATGTTATAGTTAGCATTTTAATAAACCAGAGAAAAATCGGAGACAGTTTTACAATCGCTTCATGTCAACTACAATGGCACTGAATGAACAGGTCTTAGCTTTATACAGCATTTGCAACATCAACATGCCTAGGTTTTTTTTTTTATTTTTAAAGTTCGCTACCTACTTGTATGTAATATACGTCCATAGAAGCGGCAGCTGGATTTTTCATTTAAGAGTAATCTAATATACAGAATTTTGGCCCTTAAGGGTTTATACCTCTTCATTTAAAATGCTTTCTGGACAATCTGCTATCAAACACATTTTGTTATAGGTGACATTAAAACTACATACAAATCTACCTATGTAACATCACAGCAAAACATGATGAACAGAAAGTACAGCATCAAAAAGGGAGAAAGCTAAAGTCACTGAGAATTTTGGCACATAAAGTTTTGCACACGGTCAGTCCATGTCCTAAGGGTGCAGGGCATCTGACTAGGATTCAAGGGCGGGGTGAAACAAGGGCAGTTCCCACTGCTGCTCAGACAGCATCTAACATTCCCTCACTACAGTTCAAGTCTTGTTTTACTTAATGGCTTTTGAAGCAACTTTTGTTAATGCTACTGATCCTTGATGCAACTATTAATGTCCATTTGGCGGTATCTGGGTTTCAGACAGAAAAAAAAGAAGTCAAAAAAAAGGGAAACAAAAAATATATATACACATTTTTATATATAAACTTAAAAACCTTGTACAAATGAGTTGTTATATATAAGATGCTTATGCTAAGGGAGGGGGAAAAAAACTTTATACAGTTCCAAGAAAAAGGGGAACAAAACATATTTAAAAAGAGACAACATACAAGTACAACAAGCAACCTCTAAAGCAATAAATACTACTGGTCCAAAAGCATGATGATTCCATTAATTGTTGAGTAGCAACCCCCTCCCCACAAAAGAACAACACCAAGGAACAAGGTATATTAACACATTTTTAACCCTTTGTTTCTGTACATTTAAACAATAACAAGTAACATCACAATAAAAGTTGTTTCACACAGAGAAAAAAAAATAAAGGTAATGGCACGGCATCCATTGTGCCCTTCTGGTTCAAAAACCAGGTGTAAAATGATTGGTTCGCAAGCTCGTATTTAATACAAATAATACAGAACCAACTCCTTCTGGAGGGCTGCTTCAAAATTGCTTCTCTCTCTCTCTTTTTTTTCTTTTTGTTTTTTAATCAGTCTTTTAAAACTAAGCTATCAGAACTACATAACAGTTATGTATATATATATATTTATTTTTAAACGCTACAAAGACTTTAAACAGCTGTTGATAAAAATTTTGGTAGAATCATGAGGTTCTTCTCTCATCTACATATTTAAAAGGAGAAATTGAAATAAGAATGGGTCAAATATTGACCAATGAACTCGATAAACATCAACTCATGTAGCCACGTGGCACAAAATTAAAAGAGTACAAAACAAAAGCTTTCCAAGTAGGGGTGGGGGTGGGGAGAGGAGCAAATCAAGAAACCAAGAAGAAAGCACTCATCTCAGGCAGGGCTGACAAAGCTAAAGCTATTCTAAAGACTTGGTTACGAGGGACAGAGGCTGGGGCTGGGTCCCAGTCAGCGCGTTGTGGGAATGTAAGGAAGATGTCGATGGCTGTGCAAGTGATGAGGACGGGATGATGGGTGGCTGCAGGGCGGCAGGTGGTAGGTCCAGGGCCCCGTTGGGACAGAGGGCACTGGCCTTGCCGTGGGCGGCCTCGGCCAGCAGGAGCGCCGGTGGCGGAGGCATCATGGACAGGTGGGCCAGGGGGTCAGGCTTCAGGGAGAGCGAGAGTGGCTGGGTTTGCTCAGTCTGTGACTTGGCGTCTTGGGGAGGGGAGCCTAGCAGGTGTGGGGACGGGGGTGGCGAGTCTAGTAAGCTTCCATCTGAAGAGGGCGGGCTGAGGCAGCTGCCTTCACCTTGTATGTAGCGAACGCACTTTTTTTTTCTCCTAGAAACAGGGGGGAGAAAGTTATGTGAATAAAGGGCAAAGATGCCAAGAGACAGTTATCTAGTGCTCACGGCAAATGGAAGTCACCCAATGGTTTGTCTACATAGCATGGCAGGCTGGTGGCTGGGCAGTGAAATTAAGAGATGCCACTGGCTGCACTGTTCCCTCAACCATGGGCCCATGAATAAGCTGGCTTTGGCAAGGAAGATATTCAAGAGACACCCTACTTCCTTTCCCATCCTCATCTCTTCCCACATATAAGTGAGTTGACTACACGAAGTCACCTGTACAGAGTGGCTTCATTTGAACTGTGACTGACACAAACGGTTATTTTTCTTTGGGCCTACCGACTCCTTCACTCGTCCTCTCTACCACCTCCCACCACCTCCCACTACCTCTCACCAGTCCCCAATGATGAATGTGTATTTAAAAGAGAAAGACAGAGCTCCTTCCCCGGGCTGTCCCTTATCAATAGGAAACTCTAAAAAATGCTAACTGTTGAGCCCACATAGCTGAAGACAGAGCTAGCTAGAGGCTTAAAGGTCTTAACACCAAACTACCACCACCACTACCACCTCCACCACCACCACCACCGCCACTTCCTCCTCCTCCACCACCACCACCACCACCACCACCACCGTGAGGCTGCTGGTGCCCAGAGAGCTTTTGGGCTTGTCTGTTAAGAACCACACCAAATCAAGAGAGGTCAGAATCGGGTGAGAGGGAAGGGAGGGAGTAGGGGAACAAAAATAAAAACACATTAAACTAAAACAAAAACAAACCAACCAAAAAAGAAAAAAAAAAGGAAAAAAACCAACAAAAAACAAAAAAGAACCACCGAAAACAGTTAGAAGAGGAAAAATGAAGGTGGGGAAAGGGGAAGAATAAGAAAAACAGAAAATGATCCAAAGGAACAAGAATAACTGGTTGTATGGCCTGCAGGTTGTGGATTAAATTAGGATTCAAACTTGATTCCCCCCTTTTTTTTTAAAGTTTGGGGACTTCCCCTCCCCTGTCCCTTGGTCAGAAAGCTTGGAAGGAGAGCCAGTGGGATAAAGGCCCATCGGGCGCTTGCCATATCAAAGGCCAGGAAGTGAAGGGCACAGCACAAGCCGGTCACACAGAAGGCACCACAAAGAAGAGGTGGCAGGAATTGCAGCGGGGACCTTCCTAGGTTGGGATTGTCATGATCCATGTTTGAACCAGAACATCTAATTCTGTCCTAAACCATCCCCAGAGTCTCCCTCTCTCACTTGCCCCATGTGTATAAGAAACAGGGATGAGAATGTCAGAGCCTTTCTTGCTTATCATCAAAGGATGAGGTTGAGGGATGAGGAATCAACCCAAGAAATTGGGCATGTGACTTCAAAGCCTCTCCCAACCATTAATCTCAGTCTGACGGGACCGTACTTGGTAGGAAAGGTGATCCTGAGGATCAACCTACTAATACTGTAAAAATAATGCAGATACAGGATGTGCTTAGCCAAAGGCCCTTAAATATAGTCAGAACCATGGCTGGTAATGCTTCCTCTGAATACAAGTGTGTGAGCACTGGCCAGCTTTCTTGGTGTAGAACAATGGAGATGTTGCCTGCTGGAAGGTAGCTGCTGTAACACAGGGTCACTGCCTTTGCAAGGAAAGGGGTATCCTGAGTTCCTCCTTTGCTCTGAGCCCCAGAGCTGTCTTCACGCCCATCACTGAATGGGGCATGGACTCTGAAAGATGTCAGGAGGGGGAGGGAAGAAAGGGAAGGGAAAAGGGAGCATGCTCAGTCCTCCCTGCTTGGCCCAGAGGCCAGGACCTGTGGGGCAGGTGGCTTTGGGTCTGTTTGGCATCTCTGGATCAGAAGGAACCCTGGGGGGTGGGCAGAGACAGCAGCCACTCTTTCCTCCGCTTAGCAGGGTTCCTTCTGCTCCCTGTGATAGAATGTTCTGGACAAGAGATTCTGTTCCCATCCCAGGAACTGAGATTAAAATCATTGAAGCATCTCCGTTTTAAACCACCTGAGCCTGCAGATCAAAACATGCTCAAAAACTAAGAAGTCCATGCATTTACAAATCGGGGAAAGGAAAGAAGGTGGGAACGGGGAGGGTATAAGCAAAACTGAGAAAGCAAGGGGGAAAATGAAAGAGAGGAAAGGAGAGGGCAAGTGGAGGGTGGGATGGGGGCAGCCAGGCAGTCAAGGGAGCAGCAGCTCGAGGCAGCATTCCAGGCTCTATTAGGGCAGAGTGGAAACATGGGAAAGCAACTTGGTGGGCTCAAAACAGAGTCTGGTAAAAATGTCCTCCAATGCCAAACAACATTAGAAGCCCTGTGTGGTGAGCTAGGAGCCCTGACAAACTACAAGTGTTTCTGGGCCTTCCTCAACCCTCCGTCCCTCCCTTCCTCCCTCTTAATGAAGTGGGAAGTTTCCATGCCATGGGAGTGCACGAGCATTTTGAACATAGGACACAGAGACTATGGGGACAGAGCGGTGATCCTCCAACAGGGCTGAGCAAAAAGTGGCTGGAACACACACACACACACACACACACACACACACACACACACACACACACACACACAAACACCTGAAGACTCAGAAAATGTCTCGGTTTACAACTGCTTCTGTCTGGCTTATTATTATTTTCTTCCTTCTTTGCATTTTAAGACATATTTTGTCCTGTTGAGTTTAGCATCAAGCCTGATGTGGCCATGACAAAGTTGAAAGGGAAAAGGAGCAGAGGGAAGGAAGGGACCAGTAATGAACCTGTACAAACCTCTGACTCTAACCTCCCTCCCATCTAGGCTTCCCCTCTGATCAGAAGATAGCCTCTTACAAACATTCATTGCTAGCTTCTCCTCAAAAAGGGTTTTCTCTGATTCTGATTTGGAATGACACTCTCAAAAAGATGGTGAGGGCTTGGATTAGTCCAGTTCCTACAGCTAGGGGCATCTTAGCCTTTACCACAAAAGACATTCAGTCCCGTCAAGCTGCATTCTAGAAAACCATGTTGCTAAAGTTCAAAGATTTGTCAATAACAACAACAATAATACTAATAATGGGAAAAAATGCTGGGTACTGGTGGTTCACTCTTATAATCCTAGCTACTCAGACTGAGAGCTGAGAGCTGAGGATCATGGTGTAAAGCCAGCCTGAGCGTAAGTGAGACTGTATCTTCAATTAATCAGCACAAGCCCAGAAATGGAGGCATAGCTCAAGTGGTAGAGCACTAGCTTTGGATGCAAAAATAAATAAATAAAAGAGTGGGAGATCCCGAGTTCAAGGCTCAATACTGGCCAAAAAGAGAAAAAATATATTACAAAAATTCTGGTCTAGGAAGATGGCCCAGCAAGGTATCAGTCAATGACAGTAAGAACTTCCAAGGGGATTGAAAAAAAAAAAAATTCTAACCATGCAGTAAATGCTTCCAAAATAAAATGGAGGATTCGAGAACTACCATCCATTCCATGAATAACACCGATATGCCAGGCGCCTGAACCAGCCTTACTGTGAGGTGTGTGGTGGTGTTCCAAGGTTTCTGAGGAACCTTATCTTTAGAGCGGCCGCTGTGGCCAGCCAACCTCCAAAGCAGTGGCTTCCATCAGCTCCCTCTGGGCATGCGTACAATGCTGACGTGTTCATAGCCCATACTGGGTAAACAGAGCCCCTGTCGTCCCTAGATCAACCTCATGAAACACCTGACACTCTTCATCAACCTTGTCAGAGGTGCTTGTGTCCAGAGAAGTCCGCAGGACTATGCTGAAAGGACAGCTATCACCTCTGTGAATGCTGTCATCCCATGGAGTTCTTTTCCTGGTGGGTGGCCAGCAAAAGCCCCAAGTCCCTCACTCTTGAGCAGCCATAGCTCTCTACGAAAAGAATCTCAGCCCTCAGTCCCCTGTGGTCTGTGTAGTCAATGAAAGTCAACACTTCACAGATCTCTCAGACTGGCATCAGAGAAGGGGGTCAGAGACACAGGAGACTCGTGGGCATGCATGTGATGGGATGAACATCTGATCTAACGTCTAGACACGGAGCACGGCAAAGGCATGGAGAAGAGGGACACGTGACGAGGGAGGTACTACATACAGGGACGCGTGTTTGAGATACCTACCATCATAATATTCCAAATTCAAAGACTGCTTGTATCAGAACAAAGAAACAACAAATTTAACCAAAGGTGGTCATTAAAAGAAAGGAAAGGAGACAGGAACTAGTTGGTATCCCTCCACCAAGAAGGAAATACCTATACCTTCCCTGAGAATTACAGGCTTGGGGGTGGAGCAGGTTGGGTGGGACCTAAAGGTGAAATATGGGGGAGGTGAGCTCAGTCTGGATTCTTCTGGGGACCAATTCTCTGTGCATATGTAACTTTTAACTCGGCAGGCGTGGTAAGGCTGCAGTAGGTTGACTAACTGCAAGTGTCTCTGCCTATAGACCTTTAGCTGGTACATGCCATTCAATGCCACGTTTCTGTTTCTTGGCAACAAGGTCAGCTAATTAGGCTCCTCTGTGCAGAGATAGGTGGTTTTTAAACACAAAACAACCAAAGAGAGAAGAAAGAAAGAAAAAAAAAGGAAAAATTAAAATGAAAATAAACAGCCTGCCCCAGTGTATTTCTCGGAATTTCTTACTGCAAGTTCACAGGAACGCTACCTCTGCCACAGTCTAACACATTCAGACCTTGGGAAAAGGGTGGTCTCTGTGCTCAGTGCATGGCCCATTTGGCTGACTTTCGCAGGAAAAGCACCAGTGCCCCATCCTTCTATGCTAAGGTCATGGTCTCTGTCCTGTCACTGGGTGTATGTTATTCATAAGAACAACAGGGAAAGAGAGGAGAAAATGGGAGAGGAAAGGGCATGAAAATCAACAAGGAAATTTTGAAGAAAGAGGATCATTGGTCATTGATGCCAGTGGGAGAAAGGAGATGGGGGAAATGAGGGCCACTAAGGTAGCAGAAGGACAGAAGGCTCTGATTAACCCCAAGGCCTCGCAGTGGTGATGTACCTGCAGGGTTTGCACCATAAAGTCTGTCGGTCAAGCCCGAACAGTGCCCGACACTTCTTTGGAGTATTTGCATCTGTTAGCATAAGGTAAACACAAAAAAAAATACAACACAATGGTGGGTTGTGCTCAGTTGGATGTGAACCCTCTGGCTACAGCTTACTTGTCTTCTGCTTCACCTTGGCTCTACTTGACAATCATCCCTCACACCAAGGGCATAAAAGGAAAGGACTTCTATGAGTCAAATGGAAAAAAAAAATTCAAATAAAACGATAAAACACACACGAAAAAAAAAACCAAAACAACAACCAGAAACCAAAAAACAATGAAAAATAAATAAAAAAAGAGAAAGAGAGAGAAGAGGAGGGGAGAAGGTGACATCATTTGCTTCTATCTAGGCCAGGATGAGGATCCTGGGCTATCACAGGAAGGGGGTTGGCAGGCAACTTTCCCTGTGAGAGGGGCGCACTGGGGTCTGAGTGGTGGCCCCCAAGGAGGAGCACAGGATGCTGTTTTACAGTGGCATTTTGGAGCAGCAGCAAGAGTAAGCACACCCCTTCATTGAACCCATCCACTGGCAGTGTCCCGCTCCTCATGTCTCCTATGATCCACACACAGAGCTACAAAGCAACAGGCCAGAGAGGGGAGGGGAAAGAATGAAGAAACCAGCTGCAAACCAGCACAGCGAATCTGGGGGACTATACACACCTGCAGGGGCCGCACCAGTTATTCTGCTGATCAAGGCCAAAGCGCGCTCGGCATTTCTTAGGAGCGCTCAGGTCTGAATGAGTTCAAGAAAGGAGCGAGCAGAGGAGGAGGAGGAGGATGTGGGAGACAGGGAGAGAGAGGAAGAGAGAGGGAGAGAGAGAGAGAAGGGAAGAGAGGGAAGGAGGAAGGGAAGGGAGGAAGGGGGGAGAGAGATACAAATAAGAAAAAATAAAAATAAAAAAGGGAATAAATCAATGACCTGGTTACTAATGGCAAAATATTGACTTTTCTTTTTCTTTCTTTTTTTTTTAAGCTTAATTTAAAAAAAGGTAAAAAAAAATCACATTCTTAATTCAACTTGTGAAATTAGCTGTGGCAAATAAAGCTGCAGTATCCCTTTCTCAAGGACTGTCTCAGATTCCACATGAGCTCACAGAGGAAAGTTAAGATTCTGAAGAACTCACTCTTCCAATTAATCGTTTTCCTCTTCAAAAAAATTTTTTTTGTTTTTATTTTAGTACTGCTTTCCCTTTTTTTGTTTCCTCTCAATTATCTTTATTTTAAGTAAGAAAATAAAGCGAAGGAGGGAATTAAGTTTGTAAACATGCTTTTTTTTCCTTCTGAGGACACGTTTTTAAAAAATAAATAAATAAAAAAGAAATGAAAAACTACAAATAAAAAAACAGAATGAAATGAAACAAAACAGAAAGAAATAAAGAAAGAAAAGGGTTGTGGTATTGGGATATTGCAGCTTTTGGAATGGTCTTGTTTATTCTTTTAATCTGTTTTCATTAATATTAAGAGAGGAACAGAGGCAGGTAAATGGGCCGTGTGAATGAGCTGTTACGGGTTAGTTAAGATGCTCATAGCAACAGGAGGGCAGGCAGAGTCAGCAAAATGCTAGTGAAATTTGCAAATTATGAGCAGAAAAGCAAAAGGAAGAAAGTAAAATAAAATAAATAAAAAGCAAAAGAGAAAATAATCATATTGCGAATACATGCTTGCGTGAGAAAACTTAGTGAGAGCAATGAAAAAAAATGCCATTAGATTAAGGAGGTTTATTACTGAATTCCTTCCATTTGTTTTTTTTTTAATCAGTCTCTTTTAAAGAAATACTGCATATTCAATTTGCACAGTTAGTTCAGCTCTAAATCACTGTCATTGCTGCTTTAATAACTGTTATGGGAAAAAGTAAAATAAACAAAACAGAAGGTTAAATCAAATTAAAAAAATAACAGAACTGAAAAATAAAAAAATAATAAATAAATAAATAAGTAAATAAATAATCTATCGAAACATACGAAATCGTGTAGATGGTCACTTTTAAAGAATGTTCAAATGTCATACGTGTTTAATGTTAACCAAATGAGAATGGCAAGAAAAATTAAAAAACGGTTTATCAGACTATTGTAATGACTCAAAATGACATTAGCACCTGTAATCGGAGGAAGTGAAAGGCAAGGATTTAGGAAACATTCGCTGTGTTCTGAAAAAAAAGAACAAATTATACAAAGCCTTCAAAATGTTTGTTTTTTGATGGTTGGTAATAAAAGCCTGGTTTTCTCCGAGGGAGCGCTGGGATTGCCTATGCAGTATTTCTAATTTCTTCTCCAGAATGACAAACCTCCTTAATTTAAAATGGGTGCAATTTACCACTGTAAAGGCATGCATCAGAACACTGAGGGGACGCCCAGTTAATACCCAACACTCACACGCACCCCTCTTAGACCCCCTAGCCCCTCCTCATCCCTTCTCAGACACATACAAAATAAGCAGAGGCATGCCTACCGCTCGCTCTCCAGTTACAGGCTTTGCAGTTATTTAAAAACACATTCCACTAGAATTACAATGTGCTTTTCATGCAACAATGGATGCTACTAGCTTTAAAAGGGCAGTCATGAAGCAATTAATTAAAATGCATAAACAAAAAAAGGCTGGCTGAGATGGGTTCCCCCACAATGTCCTGGCCTTGAGTTTTTCCTGTCTCCCCAGATGGCAGCCTGACATAAGAGTGGCCCTCCAACTATGGCTTCTACCCTCACCCTGACTATGGTAACTTACCATTGGTCTCGCCTGGCTGCTTGTCCCTTTTCCTCTTCTTCTTCTTTCCCTGCATGAACAGATCAAACACGGGAAATGAGTTCAAGAAACAGGACGGGAGAACTTGCCTGGAGGAGACGGTAAAAGAAGGGACCATCCACCACACTTTCCCACATCTACCAGCACAATCTTCTCCAACCTTCCATCCCTTAATCCAAATGAACTTGAACTGTGCCCTTGCTGGAGGGACTCGCAAAAGAGAAGAGTAGGGAGAATGGGTGGTGAAGGAGAGGCCGCATCGTCTCAGTTCCTCAACCACCTTTAACAATGGCTACTATTTGTGGAGCATCTACTAGGTACCAGACATGATGCCTGCCTCTCCACACCAGCCCTTCTTTCACACATTAAAGGTGATGAGCTGCACAGAGCCAATCCCACTCTTGGCCTAGCCCTCCTGGTATTTCTGCAAACTGCTAGGGTGTGCATGTGGAATGAAAATAGACAGGTTCTGAGGGACATCTGCATGTGAGCCAGCTACCTGCTGTGAATTAAAACTCAGTGTGTGCATCAGTATGTCGAATGCTACCTTTGTCTAAAAGTTTTCTGGTGTAGTAATGTTGACACAGAAAGGATGGCCAGAACCCCAACAATGTACCCAGCTCTGAAGGAACCTTAAGTGGCACCAGCCAAAGCCTGAGGACATCTCTGTCTTTTCATATCCCAGATCTGAGCCACTGGGGAAATGTGCTGTGGCTCCTGAGAAGCATACGTAACATGTGTTATAGTCCTTGGTATATGATTAAAGAAAAACAAAAATCAGCGGTGCACTACCTGGCTTAGAATGAGCAAGAATGAGATGATTTAGGAGTCTCGGTCCAAAATACAACACAAATGATTCAGTAGTTGGGCAATAGTACCCACACCGGTGTGCAGGACTTCCCTGCTGCATACGTTAAAGGTACCCGCAGCCTCCTCCCCTGAAGATCTGGGGTTTAGTTAGGACATGTAACAGAGATGTTCACAATTAAAGCAAGGGGCTGACAATGGGCTTTGAGGGGACAGGGACTGTGTTTTAACAGAAAGATGTGACAGAATTAATTACCATTATTTGATTGTAAGGCAGGCTGGCTATCTTATAAAAAGAGAAGGAAGGGTCTCACAAGTCAAGCAGGCAAGCAAGATTTACTTCTTTTACCTAAAGCCACAGAAATAATCTAACATGATGTTACAAATGTGGAAGCCAAGCATTTTCTTTAGTGCTCTAAGGAATAACCCCAAGAATCCCCAAAGGGGACAGCTTTACCCACTTCTAATCGCCAAAGCTAGTGACATAAAGGCTCTGTCACATTTGGCTGAAAGCACAGGGCTGTGGAAGAAGAGAGAGGCTGGCTCAGGAAACATTCTCCAGAAAACCTCCAACTTCACAATGACCTAAGTCATCTGCAGATACTCCTATGTCAAGTTAGTTAACAAAGGAAAACTAACAAATATCTATACCAACAAATCTATCAAAGCTTCCATTCTAAGATTCCTGTCCCCAAGGTGTCCTCTGGGCCACTGAAGCAAGAAGCACATGTGAGTTCATAGAAAGGCGTCATGGGCCATCAAAACAGGAATCTGACAGCATCCTTTCTAGACATAAAGTTTGTAAGCCTAAATCCAGACAACCACTAAACCTCTTTCCAAGTCTCAGCATCCCTATTTTCTAAACCACCTTCCCCCATGCAGAAGGGAACAGAAGTAAGCCAAGTACCTTAAGGATCTACCAAAACCTAGAACACACATCACAAAAAGCTTGGATATCTACCAGGTAAGTCTCTCTGTAGAGATCTGGGGTATCATTCGCATCATTCCTAGCAGAAATGACACACTTTAGAGCTGTATAGTATACATCCCAGGCCGTTGTCCATGAAGGCACCTTGGTGTTCCCAAATTTCTATTGGGACATGTTCCATAGAGAAGCTGAATGTGCTTCCTGTGGTACCACTCGAGACAACTCAATGAATTGGGTCTGTTGCAGGGAGAAGCTGAATTCTTAAGAACTTCTGCCTTGAAGCCAGGAGAGCCACTGTCCTGAAATTACACAGCTGTGCATGTGCAGGCTTAGAGCTGCCTAAGCTGCTGGAAAACTCTACCTCAGGGTCAGGTAGGGGTGCACAGAAAGCCTGTGGGAGGGCATTAACTGTCTCATCCTCTTCCTTTCAGTCCCAGAAGAAAGGCTTCCCTGGTGCTCACATGCTAAGGATGAGCCAAAAGGTTCCAAGCACCTAAGACCCTGTAATGTCCATCGGTGGGAGACAAGTGCTCTCAGCTCGAAGTTCCAATCCAGACAGACCTGCACTAATCCCAGTGTCAGCTCCCAGGAGACACAGACAGATGCTGCCAGCCAGGGTAGGGCCCAGAAGGGACCCAGAATGAAACATGGAATTGAAACCCAGTAGCGTCCTTCCTTTCAGCTCCTTGTCTACACAGCAATCAGCAGCAAACAAGCACAGGTTTCAAGATAAGAAGGCAATTGGAATGATGCAGAGAAGATTAGCATGGCCCCTGAACATGGCTGACATACCAACTCTCAAAGCATTTTGTATTTTTATGCTAATAAAAGAAAATCAAGGCGAGAACAGAAATAAAGGGCGGAAGACTAAGCAGAGAGCCAAGGTGAAGTGGCTCATTGGAGTAGAAGAAAGCTGCCACCACCGAGAGCCACACAGGACAATGCTGGTGATTGTCTGGAGGATGGCTATTGCTAAGAGAACAGCCACATCTGACTTGATGCTTAACCCCGCAGAATCTGCCTTGTGCACAGCAAGTCTGAAATCTGGAAGACGGTAATGACCTTGACCCCTACCGAGAGAGCCAATGCGAGAGTGGACTTGGAGGACTAACTCGCTCAGTGATTCTCCTGGCTCCATGACAGCAGCAAGGGGAGGCATTGAAAGGAAGCTGTATTTGCCCCTCCAAAAAGATGGCAAAAAGAATTCATGAAACTACCTGTCATAAATACTGAGCAAAGAGAGAAGCATTTTACCCATCTAGAGAGAAAGGAAAGCCTAGAATATTTGAGCTACTAGGCAAAAGGCAAGGTCAGAAATACTGATAGGAAATGACAGAGGGCTCCGGAGGACAACAGGCAGGAAAGGAACCAGGGGAATTGACAGTCCTAGCTACTGGGAACCATCTGAAAGCCAGGATGGAAAATCAGGCAAATCCTGCAACAACAAAGAGCCCAGTAACACACATCACCTAACGCATGCTGTTCTCCACCCATGTGCCCAGCCTCACTTCAACCTGCCAAAGGAAGACTCCACTCGCGACTTTCAGGGATATTTCCATCACGTTCCTCTCAGGATGAAGTAGGCTTTCAACCTTTACTTCAGCCTGGCCTAAGATACTTGTTTTGCTTTTCCTTCTTAAGCCTGGATGTCCAAGGCTAGGGGGTAGAGCGTAGTGTTAGAGAGGTTGCCTAGAATGTATATGTATAAAGCCCTGGGTTCAATCCCCAGCACTACCAGAAGGAAAAAAAAAAAGGCCATACCCCTGCTTTAAGACTTGTGAGGGACAAACTAGTTCCCTTCTCCCCTCCTCAGTGGTGTTTCATAAAGCCACACCACTGATGTCTGCCACAGACTACAGAGGACCGAATCTGGAAACTAAGCCCCTCCTTGGGACATATCCCACTTCTCCTAAGAAATGAGCAAGAAGTATGAACCTCTGCGATCCAGCACACGGACCCTGGCTTCCTTCCCTCCCTTCAGAATGCCTGTGCTGGCAGACCAGGACAAAAAATCGTGATGCCACCCTTCAGTTCGGTTAAGAGGATGAGACACAAATGGTCCCAGAAGTGAGAGGAATGGAATGGTAATTCCAAGGCCTGCCTCAAGTTGGCAGTGACCATTCTCTCAGTCTGTTCAGACCTATGCTCTGCAAGACAGCCCTACACAAAACGGTCCACTTACATAGTTATCCCGCGCAGACCAGCCAGGGTACAGCTGCATGTGAAGCTGTCGCTCCTTCCGGGCCAGCTCGTAGTACTTTGCTTGTTCTTCTCTAGACAGTGCATGCCACTGGAAGGGACAGGGGTAGGGTAGAGATATACAAAAACATCACCAACTACACCGTGGCCAACAAGGGTGAAGAATGAGTATTTTTGAGGACACATGCATCCAATAATGGTCCAGTCTGTAGATGCGTGTCATCGACTGGCTCTAGGGTACATGTGGCTGTTCTTGACACCGTGAAGGCTACTTGAAGATTCATATAGGTTGAAAAAGCTGGGTATTAGTAGCTCATGCCTGTAAATCCTAGTCATTCAGGAGGCTGAGATCTGATGATTAAAGTCTCACAGGAAAATCTGTGAGACTCTTACCTTGAATTAACCACCAAAAAGTTCAATTGGAAATATACCAGCCTTGAGCAAAAGGAAAAGCACAGCATCTAGGCCTTGAGTTCAAGCCCTAACATTGGTCGAAACATTTTTTAAAGAATGGTTGAAGGGGAAGCCCTTAATCTATTCCCACCACCTGTCCCCCTCCTATTAGGGGGTTACCTACCCTTCGCCCCAGGATCTGGTTGATGGCGGCACTTTCTTTCAATGTGCATTCCGCCACCACCTTTGCTCTCATTTCCTTCATATACAACATGAACGCATTAAGGGGTTTCTTTATGTGGGGTTTCTTCTTTTCTTCTTCCTTTTTGGAGTCCTGATGCTTTCTGGATACAGACAAAACAGACAGACACAAACAACCCAATGAACAATCCCACGGTCCAAATTCCTCCCAAGCCGAAAACCCACACCCGGGATCCTCCCCACCCAAGCCTGCCAGCTTTGAATAAAAAGCACCATTCCACCTCAGACCAGGAACAAAAATAGGTTGGGGAGCAGGCGAGGAAACAAGAGATTCTTTATTGCTTTACCAACAGACATGTTCCTGAGGCCCAGGAGAAGCATACTGACTCAGGTTCCCCACCACGCACACAGGCTTTCAGACAATGTTCCATTTCAGGCTTTGAGGCCAGGAAGTAGCTGCAAGTCTCAATCCACCCAAGTCAATCCCCACCCCTCTCCATCCCCCCATCCTCCCCCCCCCAAAAAAAAAGATCTTAGCAGGACAATCAGAGGAAACCATCTCGCTCTTTATAGAAAAGCCCCCTTGGCTCAGGTGCTCACTGGGTCCAAGAAGGACACCAGAGCGCAAAGCATGCAGGGACCAGGGCAACACTCACGAGCTGTGCAGTGAGCCGACGTCACTCTGGGAGGATTCCTGTTTGACTGTTGGTGTGACTATGGCCGGGTGGGGAATGCCGGTCGTGTGTAAAGTATGATGTGGTGGGACCATGTGGGGAGGGAACCTAGAAGACAGAAAGCTGTGTAAATCGTCAGAATCAAAATGAATGAATGAGGAGGGATGTGTACACATAATTTAAACGAAAAAAAAAAAGAAAAAGCCACGCAATATTCACATGAAAGCAACCCAAGGCATATGAAACCTGTCAGCATTAATTAGCAATAAATTAAACATCATGATTCTCTAATGTCATTAAAGCCAATCTTCTCCCTTCATTATTGCTACCGACACAAGACATTATGACTTTTAATATCTTTAGCAAAAGACAAATTCAACCGATGTACTAGGTTGGAAAAGTAGGCTTGGACTACCTGCCGGAAATCACACGTCCACCGTGTTTATTTGAAGCATTATTAGTGGGATCTAAGAAGACAATTTCCTAAGTCCTAATCAGCTCTTCAAATGAAAGGTGAAGTCTTTTGTTGTATATTGACAGCTAAATAAAATATTAACGCGGCTGAAACATACATACATTTTTGACAATGCTATGTAAGCCTCATTAAGGCTTATTCTGCTGATGGACTGCAATACAATTTTAATTTTGTTTCCTTTTTGTTGCTATACCACCATTGGACAGGAATAAGAGAGAGTCAGGCAAAAAAAGAGAAATATTATATTCCCTATTTGGTTCTCAGCATAAATCATGGACATTTCAGATAAATGTGCATTCTCTCATAGCCAAACATAAAAGAAAAGTACAAGTACATGCATACACACAAATGTAAAAAAATGAAGTCTCGTTTTATGACCTTCCTCCTGTATGATTTAGGATCCCTTTATTACTTTCACTTAATATGTTATTTATACATCATACAAAAGCCTTCTAAATGGCTATAAAAATTACAAATAAAGAAAGGATACAAGCCGGGTGCTGGTGGCTCATGCCTGTAATTGTAGCTATTCAGGAGGCTGAGATCTGAGGATATGTTCAAAGCCAGGCCAGGCAGGAAAATCTGTGATCTCTTATCTCCAATAAACCACTCAGAAAACCAGAAGTGGTGCTGTGGCTCAAGTAGTGGAGTGCTAGCCTTGAGCTGAAATGCTGAGGGACAGCGCCCAGGCTCAGAGTTCAAGCCCCATGACCAACCAAAAAAAAAAAAAGAAAGAAAGAAAGGATACAGTGGAAGTGGACGTGTGGCTCAATTGATAAAGCACCAGCCTTGAGTGGAAGAAGCTAAATAAGAATGAGCAACTCTGAGTTTAAGCCCCAGTATTTGCACTCAAAACAAATTGTGTATGTATGTGTGTAAATAATAAAGCTTTTTTGTGTTTAACAAATAGTGTGTATATAAGTATAGATAAAGTTTGAGTGTTCTCCTATAATACTGTTTACTTCTGAAAAGTTCTCTACAATACATGTTAGTCCTTGAGTTGGCATTTTCCAACCATGCAAATTAGCCAGGACACAAAGAACTAGTTTCAAACTGCTCTTGGCCCATCTGCAAACTGACAACTAGATGGGATGAATGAATTACCCCTTTTCTGATATGCTTGGAGCTTCTGTGCCATATCCTGGGTAAAATAATTGTTCCCTATGTTCTCCCTTAATCCCTTCACAGTAGCATATACTGTGGAGGAAAGGTGGAAAAGAAAAGGACCAAATCTCAAAGAATACAAAATGGCGGCCCTGGGCTCTGGCGGTCCAGAGACACTGCAGGAAACAGCTGGTAGTCTGTCCAGGTGAAAGGCATGTGGATCATGCCAACTACTGCTTTCCTAAATAAACCAAACCCAGAATAGACCAAACCCAACCCCACCACCATCCCAGGAGAAACAATCTACTCTTTAAAAACTCTCGCTCCAATGGAAACAAGAGATCCTAATAGGGCTTTATCATTAGCTATTCCAAATGGTATTCTACTTAAAGCCGAAGCTCGTTCCATAAATGGACTGCAAATCATTTTTCCATTTAGCCCAAATAATGTAGTTATTTACAAAAAAAAAACTGGCTTCAAAAAATGAAAAAATGAGCAGTATACAGATGAATAGAGACAATGTTATCAGACACTTTGTATTCATATACTGTTTTGTAGAATGGGAACTTCTTTGTACAACCACTTAAAGATAATAAATTTTTCTTAAAAAAATCCATAAACAATGCTGATCTTTGTATGGCCCAGGGTCACCAGAGCTACCTGACTCAGAAATTCCACTGTGGAGTGAAGCCCTCCCATAGCTGTCTTTACAAACTTAATCCAGTGTTGTAGTTTGGGAAGGATAAGATGTTTTTTAAATAAGAACCAAGGAGAGAGAGAAGGAAAAAGTAAGGGGCTAGGAGAAACATAACTAATTTCTATTCCCTTCATAAAATGGAAAAGAAGAACAAACGCTTGGGAGGCTCAGGCTCTTTGTCATTGCTTGAAGGGCTCAGTGGAAACCTGAGTTAAGAACACGTGTTCTTTGCAGCCCTTAGGTGAAGAAGTAAAGTGGCAGATTCTACTGTGAGTTTGAATACATATGTTCCCAGACGAGAGAAACGGGGAGAGATTGTGTGCGCACATGCATGCATATTTGTATACACATATGCACCAAATCACCAAAGAGGCAAAGCCAAGTGCTAGTGGTGGTTGATGCTTGTAATCCTAACTACTCAAGGGACTGAGATTTGATGATTATGTATTGAAGCCAGCCTAGGCAGAAAAGTCCGTGAGACTCTCATCTCCAATTAAGTACCAAAAGAACTGGAAGTAGAGCTGTACCTCAAAGTGGTAAGTGCCAGCCTTGAGCAAAAGAGACTGTGTCTATGACTTGAGGTCAAGCCCCAATACTGGCACAAAACAAAACAAACAAACAAACAAAAGCATAATTTGAGAATGAGGACAAATTGAGGATGAGGACCAATTTCAAGCGTATCCATGAAGAACAAACACATCCAAGCTACCCCTACCGACCTACTCATCTATCTGAAAAATGTACAAGCTGGGAGACTGGTGCATGCCTGCCTGCATGACCTGTGTGAATACCTCCACTCCAGAAATTTCCTTTCTGCAGACAACTGTTTCATGAAATGCAATAAACACCCTAAAAATTCCAAGCAGCTCATTATACACCCCCGTCTGCTCTTATGGCTCCAAGCCAGAATATAATGATGAACCTTAACTTGTTAAGGACAACTAATTTTTGTTTCTGGCTGTCTCGGGGGTTTCTCTTGGACTCACTCTCACTTTGCTTCACTGTTGACACGTTTCTGTTAACTGGATGTCATCTGCCGGCCTTGATTTTATGCACAAGCAGTAGGATGCATTTTCCTGTGCAACAATCCTGCTTTGAGTTGCATTAGGTTTGTCATTATTCTCTCATTTTCCCCCTTGCACTTGTAACATTTCATCTCTTCCTGCCTTATTTTTTGTGAGCCACGGTGCACCCACATTATGGTTTATACATGATCTCGCTCTCTTTGAAGCCGGCAGATTTCAGAGCCCGCTCTCGTCAGGAGAAGAGCCTTGCACCAATTTAGCAGGCTGAGGGCCTGGAGCTCCAACATCTCAATCTAAAGGGGGTCACAGGGTGGCACAAGTGAGTGTCAGCAAGAGCTGTTTAATTGCCAATCTAGGCTTCTCCATGGTGTTTAAAGTATAATGACCCATCACTTAATTCTGAGAAGTCCTGGCCCCGCTGCTGAATAGAATGAATTATCAAAGGGTGTTCTGCAACAGGGCAAGCTGCCTACATTTGCTATAACTGCCATAAGTATAATAGACCTATACTTCTGTCGCTCCATTACCACAATAATGTATTTAATTTGCTGTATACGCTTTTTAACTAGCTATCTTTCATATAGCCTACCTGGGGAATCGGCCGCTGCCTCCTCCTCCCCTCCCCCACCTTGAGCCCCTAACCTTTCTTCCCACTGCTCCCTTCCTTTCCTGTAACATGAAATAACCTCCTAATGATAATTCAATTGATAAGCTTAACCCCCATCCCTATTCTGTGATGACTTCAGTATTTTCCATCTCTGGATGTTCCAATAAACAAACACCAAGAATGACCAGGGAGAGCTGCAGGGGGGGTGGGGGGGAGAGCTGCAGGTCCTCAGCCGCTCCCTCTCTCCTCCTAGGAGGCTCCCCATTTGTTGCTATCCTTTGTGGAGCTGTGACGACATCATTTGAGGAGTGGTAACCTTCCTACTCTCACTAGATGCAAGGATCCCCCCCCCAAAAAAGTACGTTCCCACCTAACTAATATTGGCCTGCATTCTGAAATGCAGGTGATGTACCATACCTGGGAAGTGAATCTTGGTTATTACATGCGACCTATGGCACCATTACAAATGCTAGATACACTTAAGTGATGCTCACTCCGTTCCTCACCCAAACAGGGATTTGTATGAAAGAATAGACGCATCATGGCCTGCTGTCCCAGAGCTACCTCTGGCCGTGGCTTCTCATGTGGGCTACAGAGAGTAAGGCAAGCATCTCTGCCGGGTAATGCATGCTAATTACATTATGCACCATCATCAAAATGGATTGGTTCTTTCAGCCCATCAGGAAAGTCTAAACCTCCACCGATTTAATTAACTTGACTGAAAATCAGATGAACAGAAAATAAAACTATCATTAGGAGCAATTAGTGACTACTTAAACATACTGCTGCCATCCAGTTTGTAAATAAACTAGCAGTCACTGAAAAATTAGCCAGAATTAATTAGAGGGGGCAAAATGAGAACTTAGAATATGTGTGTATGTTGGGTATTCTTTATAGTCCTCAAATATAGGCATACAAGAATGTGTGTATACCCACAATTACTGTTTTCAAGCTTTCATAGATTTTGGTCTACACAGGTCAATTAAGTGGCTATTGGGCACATGTGGCTATTGAGTACTTCAAATGTGGTACAAATTGAGATGCACTGCGAAGACACACATCAGATTACTAAACCCAGGCACCAAGAAGAAGGTAAACTGTATTAAAGGGGTACAGTGGTAGCATGTCCAAATAATAGTATTTTTGGCCATACTGTACTGAGTTGAGCAAACATCCCTGAATATAACTTTACCTTTAAAAAAACAAAAAACAAAAGCAACCAAGATGGCTACTAGAAAAATGTAAAAATCCATATGTACGTGGTTCATTTTAAACTCCTCAGAAGGCTTTCTTATGGACTCTCAATCAGAATCCAAGCTTTGAAAAGACCAGTGGTTTTTTTTTTTCCAAACTCATTATATAATAATAATAAAATGAACACCAGGTTCTTCTTTCTTACCAAGCACAGGATAAAACAGAAATGGCATTTTGTGTATCCTGACTGCTTTCCTCTACAGGCCTTATTAACTTGGTCAAATTCACTGTCCCAGGATGGAACCTTACAACTGGACACTGCTTGACTTGGAAGTCGAGATGGCTAATGCCACATCTGTTTTGCGCTCTTTGTTCCTAGGTGGCGTGGCGGCTGTCTAAAGGGCTGAGAGCCGCCCTGTATCCTTGGATGGAGGTCTCGTTCTTGGAACTCACCTGGACATGGAAGCGTTGACAGTCAGCGCTGTGGGGTAGGGGTGCCTGAATCCTCCTGTCGTGATTGGGTATACTGGTTGACCTTGCCTACAAAGAAGGGGTACAAAGTGAGAGACAGGAAGCGAGGCTGGGGGCGGGGACAAGAAAAAGAAAAGCCGGGAAAAGTTCTCTGCATAGTAAGCTTTATTCTCATTTGATCAGAACAAAAATCTTGGGGATTGTACAGGAAGGATCAAAGGGAAGAAACACAGAACAATTTGAATGCCATAAATCTGATAGGAATGGCTAATTAAATTTTATAACCTCTGCTTATGTCAATAGAGACCCTCTCCCCAAGCTGAAACTAGGTGTTTTGTTGCAATAATTAAAGGCGAAGTCTCACTTGCTTTAATGGAGCCATCACACTAATTGAGGGCTACACATCCAAAGGAAAACAATAATGAATGTAAATTTATACCAAAATAAAGTACAGTGAATCAAAGGACTTTGGTTGCGCTTTGGGCCTCTTTCGGTATTTAGATCTCGGTGAGAAAACATTAAATTAACAGAGCTTAATTTGTAGCCTTTTGTCAAATTAACAAGTGTTGACAAGAGTTACCGGGGGGAGAGTCCCCAAGAAGAATTGTGGGTAACCAATAGACAATCACACCTCATTACAATAATTAAAAAATACAGCAACATGCAAAATAGCATCCTCATGAAAGACACACAACTTTTCCTGACAGAGGGCTGTCTGAGCTGGCAATTCTTTTTCATCTAGACTTCAGTATCTCCCCATCAGCTAGCTGAGTGGGCCACATATGACTGAGAACTATCAAGGATTGGTCCCATCCATTTGAGAAGAAATGGGTCACAAGCTCCATGCTCATATCCACTGCACTGGACTAAAAATAAGAACTAAAAATAAGAAACTGCACCCAAAGCTGATATTCGTGTAGTAGAGAGCAATCTGGTTTTGTTTTTGTTAAAAAAAAAATAGCACAGTGAACTAGAGAAATCAAGGTAGAATTAAGAGATGAACTACTTCAACATATAATTTTTGGTAAGGTTACAAAAGGCTCTCCTCCCTAAGACCCAAATTTGAGAGTTTTATAGAATTTATTTTCACACTCAACATTGCCCTGTGTTTTATAGTACTCATTACTGATATACCTGGAGAAATTTTTATACATATGCACCAATGTATAATCTCAAAACATTCCATGCATGTTTATGTGAACACACAATATGCACAAGGTATTCCTTTTTACACATACTTTATGGATACGTAAGCATGCAGTACTGTATATAATGTGTTTGTATACATGCATGTACGTAGTTACTAAGGATTGGACTCGGAACTTTGAGCTTGTTGGACAATCTGCCCTAGATTGGAAATGCATTATGCTTTCAAGCTACAAAAGGCAGTTACTCTGAGCACTGTGAAGACCTAGGGCTTGTAGCAGGGAAATCCTGCACACAGCAAGAATTCCAGCTGCCTTTCCTCACCCTCCACATGCAAACAAACTCTCCAAGAGATGGTTCTTAAGTGACACAGAGGCTTCACTTTCCTTTTGCTGATGCCAATCTTTAGGAGCAATTGCTGATTTGGGACTGGGCATACATTGCTGAATGAGGAGAATTCCCAATTGCACCTAGAGCTCACCAATGTTGCTCCTATTCTAGTCCCCTTATAGGAACCACCTAAAAGGGAGAGCTCAGCCCAATGACTCCCACCCACAGTCAGTTTTATTGTGTAGAAGCCCTCAGAGCCTCTAGCAATTCCAAAAATACCCTGTTCTGGGGCTTGAACTCAGGGCCTCACACTCTCGTTCTTCTTTTTCTGTCATGGTTGGCACTCTACCACTTGAACCATACCTCCACTTCTAGGGGGAGGAGCCTTTTTTGTTTTTGTTGTAGTTTAACTGGAGATAAAGAGTCTCACAGACTTTTCTGCTCTTTTCTGAGATCTGAGGATCTCAGCCTCGAGTGGCTAGGATTATAGGCATAGCATCTGGCAAGTATCTTAAGCATACTCTGGGGACTGTGGATCTAGAATAGATCCCCTTCTACATAACCTATTTGAATGGCATATTTGTCTGCAGTTTTGGGATACCTCAGCAGTATTGCCCCATGCTATCCTGTCAGCCCTGCTCTTCTGAAACATGTGCATGCACATAACACACACACGTACATGCACACATACATGCACACAGGCGCACACACAATGATAAGCATGCCCATTTAAGCAACAAAAAAAGAAGTCGAAAAAAAAAATGGAACTCCTTACTGTGGTACTAACCATCCTAGCGGATGGGGGATCTGTCCTACAGTGCCGGGCGATAGTGGATAATACGGAGATATATCTGGAGGGTGTGGAGGCCGTGGGATTCCTGGGAGAAAAAAAAGTAGCAATATTTTAAGTATTGAGAAGGGGGAGAATGCAATTGCAGCTGTTGGAGGATGGAAATGGGGGAAGGATAGAGAGGGGCATCTATCACTTCCTGAATCCCATCATGAGGCCATTCAGGATTCTCATGTCAAGAGTTGTAGCTGGGGTTTCTGATCATTTTCTCAGAGCCTCAACTTGGACATTTCATTCTAGGTGGATGAGTAACTTGGCTGAACTCAAGACTTAGAGAATTCCATCTTTGGTATTTCTGTCTCTTGTGACTCAAGGTGATTATTTTAAGCTTAAAAAAAAATCAGAAGGGCTTGGCACATAGTAGGTGAACACATAATTCCTTTGGCCTTAGGACTTGTCCTTCTCACTGTAAATGAGTTTCCCACAGAGTGTTACTTCTCTTCTTGGTAACACTATTTTGCATTTTTGAGATAAGCTTTAGGTAGCCCAGGCTGTACTCACATTTGTGATCCTCCTGTTTCTACCTCTGGAGTGCTGGTATTGCTGCTTGTAACTCAATTTTAAGGGAGTGTTACCCTACCATCTTTCCAAAGACGTAAATCCTATAGGTTGCAAGTACCTGAGAAGATGGGTTGTGAAAACCACCACACGCCAATTGGCATCTTATTCCCAGACGTCAGAACTGAACAGGCAAGGAGAAGCCAGAAGCTTGGGGTGCTCAGCCAGCTGGAGAACCCACCACCCCCTCCTCCCATTGAATCAAAGTGGCCAGGACCCTTCCCAAGGCACACATCAAAGTGTGCTGAAGGGACACACCGCAGCACACTTCTTAATTTCATAGGAGCAGTTCTGACAGGGGGCTCTGATCTGTACAGTAAAGCACTAAGCAAAAAGAAATGCACAGAAAAGCAGAATTAACATGGAGTACTGAACTGAGTGAGCTGCATGTACATGGATTCTTTAAAAAAAAAAAACAAAAAACTTTTTTAAAAAAATTCGTTCAGGAAGCTTTTAATCTATAAATTAAGTCTCCCTGGGTGACATTTTCACGCAGACATTGCTTTCTCTCTATTACAAAAACCAAACAGATTAGCTGGTGTTGGACCCTACACGGAGCCATTTGCACACTTGAAAGAATGTTCACAGAGGAAAAGTAAACAGTCCACAGACGTTAATCATATGTTTTACGATAACCATTTAAAAGCTATTCCCTGGTCTACCATTATTTAAATGAGACATTGACACTGCCATTCACTTGCAGAGCCTGGGGCAGGCTTACTGCCTCTTCCAGCCCTGCTGTGCTAGGCTGGGTCTTCCACCAGCACAAAGGGGGCTCAGAGGCTGAGTGAGAACCAGCTAATGTGTGGCTTCTTTCAGGGGCAGTGGAGGCCAGGCCACCTCACCAAAGCACCAACAACTCCCTCTGAAAAGAGACTCAGAAGGGCCATTAGAGACCCATCCCTCCAGTGGACTAACCCACTAAGTGGGAGGGGAGCCTCTGAGCAGCCTGAGCCTTTGCGAGTCTCCTAAGTGGACCGGTCCACAAGCTGTGGATGTTCGTTAGACTTGACCTTGTAAGGAGGAGTATAAGGTGACTCTGTCTTCCTTGCTTCTCCCCTCTTGAAAAACAAACAAAAACAAAACAAGACAAACAGGCAGCAACAAAAATTGGAAACTGGTCAATGATGGAGTGGGAAGAAGAGACGGAGGGAAATAACGGCTGGAGGAGAATGCAGCAGCACCGCCTGGGCCCCTGCTGGTTGTCCTAACATAATCTTCCCGGACTTCAGTTTTCACATCTATAAATTGGGTTTGACAAAACAAAGGATGCAAGGGGGCACAAGGCGAGGAACCGAATATAGCCCCTCAAAACCCTGTAAGGAATCCAGCAATGAGTCTGTGCTAGTGACTTGAGGTCCTGAGAACCAATGCTGTCAGGCCTCTTATCCTCCCAGGAAACTGAGCCAGAGTCTAGGAGAGGCCAGTAGGAGAGGCCTCTACTCTGTTTGGGCAGGAATCCAATGCTGGGTTCCAAAGACGACCCCCTTTCAAGTCCCCTACAGAAATCGGATTCCTACAAATGGACTTCTCCAAAGGGAAGAAGAAAAGGATTACCCTGCCAGGATGCGGCCTCCTAGGTCCTATTCAGCCTCTACCCTCATTTCCAGCCCTGTCTCTGTAGGCCCACCTGGACTCCTTATGGAGGCCCACGCAGTCCTCTGGAGACCCTCAAGCCCAGCCCAGCCTTCTACCACAGCAGCCCAGTCCATGACCTACCTGTTTTGGGGTCTACGTCAGCTGGTAAGTGTGGAGGTGGGTTTCCCGGGGTGAAGTGTTCGTTGCTGTAGGTGATGAGAGGCGTGAGCGGGTGGACATGGTGGGGGTGCTGCACCACGGGCACTTTGTTCGACTGTCGGGGAAGAACAGAGGAAGCCACTGTCAGCTGGCCCCGGCAGCCCAAGACTTCAGAGCACAGGCCCTGGTCCCCTGCAACACCCTCGCACCTTGATGTCGTGAGAGACACTCAACCCTGCCCACACTACCCCCCACCTCCCCAATCCACTTAAAAGTAAGAAGTAGTTTTTAAGACAGCTCTCTGCCTAGGTCTGCTTCCGGCTTTCACCTCCCTACAGAGCCTGGCTTTTAAACACCCTCTTCATCACCACCCAACATGGAGCCCAAGGCCTTTGCACTTTTCCCATTGGCAGGTGAGTGGGAAATGGGGGACTTTTATCTCCTAGGCCTACTGCACTGTGCACATAGGGGGGGATCTCCAACCTCCCAAGACCCCACGGTGGGACCTCCAGGAGGCAGGCTGGCTTCACAGGGACCAGCCAGGAAAACCTTCATTTACAAGAAACCTAACAGGGCCCAAATCCCACCCACCCAGCCTCCGAGCCCACCTCCTCTCCCCCTCCCTGCTCTTGGAAACAGCAGGCACACAAGCAATCCTTCCCATGAAGCCAGGATGAAAAGCCCCACTCAAGCTTTGGGTGGGAGTATGAACTTTACTAGAAAGCTCTAAACTGCTTGGCAAGCACCTGCATATTTTATGCAGATTACCACAGCCCTGATTCATTAGGAATTTCATTAGGGAGTCATCAGGGACCACTAATAAATTAACTGGATGATGATGAATTGGCTTAATAAAAGGTATGCATTTGAGAAATGGACTGTTGGAGCAAACAAACTACAAGCATGGGGTGGGGGGAGCGGGGGGAAACCTGTGAAGGGAAGCAGAAAAAAAAAGAATTTTAAATATGATTCTTGTCATCCACAGGCCTTCCGAAACCGCTCTCCTCTTCCCCAGCTGATATTCCATCCACTCCCCTCCTCCTCTCAGCCCAGCAAGATCACAAAGAAAAAATTAAGCTGAAACAAGCGAACTACTGGGCCATTTACTGAGAGTAATCCAATTGCAAAAAACCCTATTCCCAATAGAGGATTTTCACTAAAATCCTACAACAGGGACATTTAACCAGATTAGGTACCAGGGAAGATAAAGAGGCTAGTGTTAGCTGATGAATGGATTAGAGTCAAGTTTCATTTTCGAACGTGTCTTCATTTCCTTTTATTACTTTTAGGAAGGCACAACTTGCATTAACATCAAGGAAAAGGAATTGCATTAAAAGAAAAGAAGTCAGGTTCTAGCACTGCCCACTAGCGCCTCTTGAGTTCAGGGACCACTGAGCAGTTAGCTTTCTTAGAGTCAGTCTCTGGTCTTTTTCTTTTTTAAGGGATGAGGACCATATGTAACATGGGAAGAACTCTTGCTACCCCTCAATTGTGGAGAAGACAACTTTATAAAGTGCTGGGTGCTGGAGGCTCATACCTATAATCCTAGCTACTCAGAAGGCTGAGAACTGAGGATAGCAGTTCAAAGCCAGCCCAGGTAGATAAATTTGAGAGACTCTCTACCTCCAATAACCAGCAAAAAGCCCAGAATTAGAAGTTTGATTCAAGTGGTAGTACATAAAAGCTGAGTGAGAGCTCAAGGCCCTTGGTTCAAGCCCCAGTAGAAGTCTAGTTCAGGCTCCAGAAAGAACTACAGAAAAAGACTACCTCTCATGGCTTTGTTTGCAGAGTCCAATGAACTTGGACTCCTCCAGAGAAAAGGGCTAGCTAGTTGCTCTCAGGAGCCTGGTTACCATCCTGCAAATTAAAATAATAAAACTAAAGCCACCAGAGTAGAGGAAGCTTTGGAAATGATGAATATTCTCTTAGAGTTGGCAGCCAGGAAGATCTAGACCAGGCTGTGACCCTGAGGACAGTGCCCTTCTGTGCCCAGGCCAGTGCCACACCTCACACCTGTGCAGAGAATCTTCTGAGGAGCATCCTTTAAGGGAACATTTGTATTTAGAATGAGATTAACTCTCACAGTGTGCTGAGATAGAGGGAGAGAAAGAGGATTGTGGACAGAGTGGAGAGCATCAGGAGCAAAATGAATAACTGCTACTGACTCCTTAAAGTTTTCTATTTGGTTGGAAAGATACACAGCACCTGTACCTTCTTATGACAGAATGTGGATGGCTCCAGCCAGCTTAAAGTAAGTCTGGTCGGGACTGGTGGCATGGCTCAAGTGGTAGAGGACTTGCCTAGTACTAAGTCCAAGGCTCTGGGTTCAATCCCGAGTACTGACAATAATAATAATACTAGAAATAAGAAGGAAGAGAGGGAAAAGGAAGAAAAAGAAATAAAAACAGAAACATAGGCAGGTACCACTGAAGCAAGACCACCGTAAGAAGAGAAAACAGGCATGTAATCCATCACGGAAACCAAGAGGAATGGAAGTTGAACACCACCACCTGTGGTTGTCAACCCTGGCTGAGTCACACACCTTTCAGGACATTTATCATGAATTTACAATCTGGTCCTGGGAAATAAGAGTAAGTCTAAGACTCAGGATGCAGGCTATAGTGCTCTGTGGCTGGTTCTCTCTGCAGGCCTAAGTGAGAAGCCCTAGGTCAGAAAACCCTATAGGCATAGGGACACACAGAGGTTAAAAGAGGAGTTCAAATCTTGACTCAAGCCCTGGTCCTTATAGAAGCTACAGGGAGGGCTGGCACAGCCCTAGCACTCGATAATCATGTTAATGATGACAACTTATTATTTGTCTTTATTAGGGAGGAGCCGCCTAGTGATGTGGTTCTGTCTACAGCATAAAAACACAGATACCAAGGTACTTTCTAAGTAGATGAATGGGAAATATGAGAGATACTACACTCAAAAAAAAATGAGTGTAGTATTTCAATTTTAATTCTCCCTCTTCATCTTAGATACATGTGGAAGGGCAATTTTAATAAAACAATCTCCTTGACAGTCATTGATGCCCCTGTACTGGTTTGTATACCTAACCCTACCTAACCAGTCTTGTGACCAGTCAAAGCTCTGTACTATGGTGATGGAGTAGATTGAATTGTAGGTGCTGCCTGTCTTTAGCATGAGAAGGGGGGAGGGGAAAGAGGGAGGGAGGGAAGGAGGGAGGGAGGGGAAGAGGGAGAGAGGGAGAGAGAGACCTACTATGGTATTCCTGTCTGACCTTCATAATACATCAGTAGGACCTGACTGGTTCTAGTCTTGAGAGCAGAACTGACTGGTTTCAAGACTAAGTCTGACGGATCTACCTGCTGCAACTTACCTTCGCCAGGACTGTTTTACGATGGAGTGTTTTTTTGCAAATGTCTGTGCTTTTCCAGCCTCAGAACCTTATGGGTTCTTCCTTTCCACGTGATATCCTTCCCATTGCTATGTCCTTAAGGACATGATCTGTGTCTTCTAGAACTCTGCGTCCCATACCATGTCCAAACAATGGGGGCAGTGAATACTGCCTCAAAAACTTCACAGAGAACCCCAAACCCACAACTGCACATGGCAGAAGAAAAAGAGCAGGACAGAGCCATCACAAGGGCTTGTTTTACATAAAGACTGGACTCTTTCTAACTAATCTACATGGCATCAGAGACAGGGCTGAACAGTCCTTCTGAAACAGTCCAGTCCTATCCTATGCAGACGCCAGGTCATTGGCACCAGTGCCTTTAAAATGGTTTTAGACTGTGTGGGTTTCAAACAGGAACTAAGAGTAAGGGCTGTGAATTCAAGGAATTCCTAAGCATCTCTCAAGGTCTGGCTGGGTAACCTTTCCTCTCTCTTGCGCTGAAGACCTTGTTTCTGTATCTATAAACTTTGGGGAAGTACTGTGTGAACTGTGAGGTTTGTGGAAATAGAATGAGGCAGTTTATACAAAGCGCTCAACACTGTGTGGATCACTGTTAAACACATCCTACAAAACTTTGCAAACTACAATCCAGCAAGTATAAATGGTAAGGAAGGAAGCTGCTCCTCTAGAAGCTTTTAGTCTAGACTGCATCTGTGGTTTCAAAGGTAAAGATGTCATTAGTGGGGCAGGACTATATGAATGACCTCTGGTCATCCTGCTTCAGGCACATGCCCTTCTTGAAAATGTGCATTTTAATACTATATTTCCATTATTATTTCTTGTGAGAAAAACCATCACTTTCCTATGTCAAGAAGTAAGACTGCCACCAAGAAGTTAAGAAGACACTTGAAGATAACCAAATCCTTCCAGAACCAGGGCAAGGACCTTTAACATAAGAGCTAATATAAATAAAACAGAAAAAAAAGTAAAAAATAAGGACTTCCTTTGACTTTCTCCTTCTCTCTGAACAGCTCCTATTACTTTAAAGAGATCTGTAAGTATTACGTTTAAAACCGTTCTACCCTAAGAAAATCCAGATGTGGAAAGTGAGGGGGAGGGTCACAGTTAACTTTCCCGAAATGCATCATGGGAAATAAAAAACAGCAACAATCAGAGCTGGGGGTGAGGAAGGGGGATGGTGGTACTGGACTAAAAAGCCTATAATAATTACCTCCTCCCCCTTTTATCTTTGGAGAAACAGAATCAAACACTCAAGGCAACCACCTGTAACATAATACCTTAGAAAGTGATTACTTTCCCTAAGTATGTCTTCAGAACTATCTGGGGTACAAAACCAGTGACAACTAATGTTCAAGGCCATAGTGGTGACAGACAAGGAAGATTAAGTTATTATTATTTGTTTCACCCTGTGAGAGTAGGAAGGAAACTAGGAATCTTTGAGTCACAAAAATGTAAAATATGGGCAAGCTGCCCATATTTCATCACCTAAAATTCAACTAGGGAGCCACTTCGAGACCCTTGTCTGACTAACCAATGGCCATAGCCAAGTGCTCTAACCCACCCCAATGCAATTCAGAGCTAACCCTTCTTAGTGGAACAGAGAGGTACACTAGTCTCCCTCTTTTTCTATTAAATCTCACTGCAAATACTTGGAACTTGTGACCAGTTCCCCAAAGTAGTTAAAGAAATATTTGCTGGGTCACACATGCCTTTTTTGGGACAGTAGTGTTTCC